TGTGTGTGTGGGGAGGGCTTGGGGGGGCACAGGGGGGTGTGGGCTGCCACGGGATGTGGGAGGAATGGGGGGCGCGGGCTGCCCGTGGGATCGGCATGGGCAGAGCCAGCCGATCCTGACAGGCTTTCTGCCCCTCCCCCTCCGGCCCAGGGGTCAGCTGCTACATGCCAGCCAACGGTGAGACGGTGACACTGCCCACAAGCCCCAGCATCCCTGTAGGCATCTCGCTGGGGCTGCTGAAGCGGGAGATGGCACAGGGTACGCAGGGCAGGGCAGGGCAGGGGAGCGGCTCAGCGGGTGGACCCGATGGCAGCTCCCGTCCTCGCCCCTTTCTCCACAGGGCTTCTCCCTGATGCCAAAAAGCCCCGGCTCCTGCATGGCACTCTGATCATGAAAGACAGTGTGAGTGCGCGTGGGCGGGGGCACGGCGGGGGCGTGGCGCTCCATGCCCCCTGACCTGCCCCTGTCCCGCAGAACTTCCGGCTGGTGTCCTCAGAGCAGGCCCTCAAGGAGCTGGGTCTCGCCGAGCACCAGCTGCGCTTCACCTGCCGTGTCCATCTGCACGACCCTCGCAAGGAGCAGGAGACAGCCGTGCGCGTCTACAGCCACCTGAAGAGGTGGGTACCCGACCCTTCCTGGCCCTGGGGCGGGTAAGAAGAGAGGTACAAGGCAGGCAGGTCTCACAGTGTTTCCCCACAGCGTCCTCAAGGAGCACTGCGTGCAGCACCTTCCCGACGGGTCTGTGACCGTGGAGTCCATCCTTATCCAAGCCGCGGCCCACTCCGAGGACCCAGGCACCAAGGTGCTGTTGGTCTCCTGGACCTACCAGGTGAGTGGCCTCCAGGGCCCTGTAGCCGGCAGGTCAGGATAGGCGGGGTTACCCCATCACCTTGCTCTGCCCAGGTATGGTGCTCAGGGGAGGTGAGATGACTGCCCCCTCTTGCATCTGGCTACAGGATGAAGAGCTGGGAAGTCACCTCACGTCACTGCTCAAGAAGGGCCTACCCCAGGCCGCCAGCTGATCACCAGCCAGAGGGCCCTAGGCTTCCCTCTAGAGCCATGTCTGTGCCTCAGGTCTTCCCTGTGTCCCTGGATGTGGAGCCCACGGCTGGTCACAGCACTTGTCCGTGAGGACACAACCAGCGTTATGTGCCTACGTGATTGGCCAGTTCTCGCCGAGGAAAGAAATAGGCCTGGGGATTTCATCACCCTTTATTTCTATTCCTGAGCCCCCAAGAGATGGGTGGTTGCTCCTGAGGTATTTTGTCCAGTAAAAAGAGAACCAAAGACCACATGGGTGTTCCCTTCTTGATGCCTAGACCTTTTTCCTGTGGTCTACCCAGAGCAGCCCACCTGGGGCAGACCGGGGTACCCAGGAAGGTGGGGACTTCTGGAAGGTACGGGCCAGTGGGAGGCAAGAAGCCTGCTGTGGCTCCGGATGGCCAAGTGCTGGTCCCTGCTGCTCCATGGAATGCAGAGCTGGGCAGGGTCCAGTGGCAGGGCCTAGTATGTCACAGCTGCCCTGATCTCAGCTGGGCATCTGGGGATTATCTGTGCCTCCCATGTGGTGAATCCTGCCGGGCACAGGAGGTTTTCTTCAGGGGCTGGGCCTGTCCAGGCCACAGCTTCCTCTGGGCTGCAGAGCCTCTGCCTGTCAAGGCCCTCCCCGCTCCCTAAGGCGAGCCCCCTCAGCCTCCCTCCCTACTGGGAACTTGATCACAGGGGCCGGGTCAGGAGTATGGCTTGGGTCTAAGGGCCCAGGGGAAGGAGACCCCTCACTCCAGGCTGCCTGCTTTTGGGAGCAGCTGGAGACTTTTTGTCCAACCTGGTTGGGGCTTCCTTGCCTCCAGGGCCCTGGCTTTCCTGCTGAACACAGGCTGGATTCCCACCTGTTAGGACAGAGGAGAGCTGCAGCTGTGCTGCTACCAGGAGCCCCTCCTCCCATCAAGCACCCCACCTTGGGAGGGGCTCAGTCATTGGGGTGCATGCAGGGACTTTTCCAGGCTGTCTACCCTTACCGAAACTCCCGTACTGCACTGACTTGAGGAATAAGCCATGGGCCGGGGCCACACGTGTCTGGTGTCTACCGAGGGGGTCCCGGCTTTCCAAAATCACCTTCACCTGAGCGGGCATCAGAGCTCCCAGCCCCACAGCCACCAGCACAGCTGTCATTCTCCGAACCTGCAATCCGAGGCCAAGACTGCCATAGTGACCCAGCTCCTTGGGTCCGCCCCCATCCCTGGAGGCCCAGGCAAAACCCACCTGTCTGTACAGAAAGGACTGGCTCTCAAACTCCAGGTTCCAGAACTGCAACCTAGAGATAGAGGCACCTGTGACACCTGGGCCAGGACAACCCCCAGTCTGCACTGTGGCCCCAGAGGAGGGGGGCAGGGGGAGGGAGCTAGGAAAGACTGGTTTCCACTCTCTCTTCCACCCTAGGGGCTTCCATTGGCCACCCTGCCCTCAAGTGAAGCTGCTGGGAGAGACCTTGTGAACGGGAGGGGCTGCAGAGCCTTCTGAGAGGCCTAGGCAGTGGGGACAGGGCTGTCAGGTGGAGGTGCTGCTGAGGCACAGGTCCTAGGGCAGCTCTGGGGCAGGGAGGTGAGCATGACCAACTCCTCTACCAGAAACCCAAGGCCCAGGGTAGGGGTTCTTCAGCTGATCATGCAGAAGTTCCTCCTCCCTTCAGTGCAGGCTCAGACTGAGAAGGTTTGGGAAGCCGACAGCTGACATCTGGCCAGAGGCCCCAGGAACAGTGGAACCAACCGCCTGCCAGGTAGCGCTGGGACCACTGGCCTGGTGCTCCTCTTCCAGCAAAGTGTTTTCAGCAGCTGCCAAGATCCATCTACTAGTCCATGAGCCGTGGCTGGACAGGGCTGGGAGCCCTTGGAGAAAGCATTCTCTGTTCCCAGTGTGGCAGGACCCCAGCCCAGGGCGGGGAGGGCACAGCTGTAGGTTCATGGTTGTTGGGGCCATGCCACTTAGCTGACTAGCATCTCCCCTGTGAGGTTGCTGATGGGCACCCAACTCCAGCTGTGTCCTGCACCACCCTCACCAAGGAAGGTGCTAAATCTAAATCCAGCTCCCCCAGCCTCTGGCCAGTGTGCAAGGTGCCTTTCATTACCTGTTCTCCTGGGGGAGGACAAAGGGGCTGCCTAGGTCAGGGGACACAGAAGCTCGGCGCAATGTGCGCACTGAGCTCGTGGCTGGGCTGCCAGCTGACTGGAAGGCACTGAAGTCATGTGTCCCTAGAAGGTGCTGGGCAGCCTCCTGCATGGCCTCTACATCCAAGCAGCTGCAGGGAGACAGGTGAGTGGTCAGGAGGGAGTAGCCAGCCAGGTGTGCCTGGCAACCCTCTCCTGCTCCCTCACATCCACGCTCACCCTGCCCGTAGTGCCCAGCATCGGTTTCGTTCAAACACAGACAGCTGATCGGGCCGGTGGCAGCCGGTGGCCAGGCGGTACAGGTAGGTCCTGGATGTGGCAGCATGGCGGGCATGGAAGTCAATGGGTACTCGGAAGGCCTGCAGTACCCTGTGGGAGCACGATCAGGCATACCAGAATGACCCCTATGCACCCACGGACCCAAGTGACCCCTTGGTATCTCCATCATTCCCAAGTTCTGTGCAGACACCAAGTCCTTCCTGACTCGTGGTCTCCACCCACAGCGGGCCAGTTTGGAGACAGCAGACAGGTGCTCACCGGATGGCCGGGTGCCTCAGGTGGGCATTGAGAGCTTCAGCCAGGACCTCGGGGGAGAAGGGGGGCTGGCCTGAGCGGCGCTGGACGTCTAGGTGAGCGGCGTTGCTCAGCGCGTGGACTCCAGCATCCGTGCGGCTGGAGATGGTGAACTTGACCGGCACCACCGAATTCAGCCTCTTTGCAGCCTCCTGCGAGGACAGAGCCGCCTGGGGCGGGGTGGGCAGCGCAGGGCGAAGGCCGGAGCCCAAGAGACCTGGGGGCTCTCATCTGCCCATTCCCCGGGTCTCCCTCTTTCCATTCTGAGGGGGTGGCCGGCGGAGCTCACCTCCAGGTAGTTCTGGACCCCGATGGCGCGCTGGGAGCCCCTGATGGCCGCGACCCCGCTGCGGGCAGAGGCGGGCTCAGGTTAGCTGACGGAGGCCCGCCCCGCACGAGCCCGTTCCCTTCCCAGGCGTCGAGTCCTAAATTAGCTCCCCCGCCACCTCCCCGGCCCCACCTAGGATGCCGGGATACACTTGGGGGCCGCGGGCATGGATGGGAGGTCCTGAAGACGTACTTGAACTCCGTGCCCAAGTACTGGAAGTACACGAGGTAGCGCGCCCTCACCGAGCCTGCGGCAGGGCCCATGGCTGGAGTCAGCAGAGCCAGGACCGGTCGAGAAGGGCCAGGCTGAGCAGATCCGCGTGTGTGCCCTGCGCGCGCGCACGGAAGCAGCCTGGCCACGCCCCCCGGCTGCGCCTGCGCCTTAGCTTTCCTCCCTGCAAGGCACTCGCTCGCCCCAAGGCAGCCGAAGGCCAGAGCAGGGGAGGGGCCGGACTTAGGGAGCGGGTGCAAACTGCCAGCGGGCTGAGGAGCGCGTGGATCGGATTCGGACAGTGGCACCAGGGAGGGGCTCCCGCGGACGGGCGCTCTTTCATCCGTCCTCTCGCCCGCTCACCCACTTCCCACCGTCCTGGAGTGGGTCCCGTGCCCACGATCCGCGCAAGCGGTTTTCGCAAACGCCCCGACTTGCGTAACGGCCGCCTCGCTGGAGCGGGCAGTCCCGCGCCCTCCCCGCCCCTCGCGGACCGGCGACTGTCGCTGGGCCCGACCCTCTTCCCAGCCCGCGGTGGCCTGGGAACGGGGCGGCAGGACGACGGGGCGTCCGGGCCGGAGCCAGGCGTGGCCGTGGCCGCAGGGAGGGGAGTTTGGCGACGCTCCCCGGCAGTGACAGCGGGAGGCGAGCGCGGGCGGCGAACATTGGCGACGCTCCCCAGCCGTGACAGCCCGCGGCGCGCGCGGGCGGCGGACTTTGGCGACATTCCCCGGCGGTGACAGGCGGGGCGGGGCGGCGGCGCGGCGGCCTCATTCCGGGGCGGGCGGGCGCCGAGCGCGGCGCGGGCGGGCCGGCTGACGGAGGAGCGAGCGGGCCGGCCGGGGATGCCGCTCGGGGCTCAGCGGTCCTCGTGTCAGTGAGCGCCGCGCACCGCCGCAGCCATGACGGTGGAGTTCGAGGAGTGCATCAAGGACTCGCCGCGCTTCAGGTGCGCCCCCAGGGGCGGCGCGGCCCTTTGTGGTCGGCGGGGGTCGCCGCCCCCTCGGGGCACCCGGGGTCGCCGAGGGTGGGCGCACGGGGCGGGGGGGGGGG